AGGCATAAAGTGCGCTGACGTGGAGGATAAAGCAGTCACGGCTCAGGACTTTTCAGCGGGTGCCTCAGCACTGCGACTGATTTCCTTGATCTTCGATACAGTTTTTGAAAATCTTTGCAATGATTACTCGCTTCTTGACTCATGCTACGAATGTCTGAAAGAATTGGGCCAACGACTCAACGGTTTTTTTTTTCTTTTGAGCGGGTTTTTTTAATAAAATTGAGGGCTAGGGATGGTGAGGCATACCTGACATTCGTGTCTGATTAACTTCTACCGCATATATGTTGAGTGTTATAGAAGAACGGGAACAGGTGCTTATTAGGTGGATTGAAAAATGCGAAACGAATGTGCGAAGGGTGATCCGTATCTCTCATTTCTGTCCGGAAAATAGACTTTTGAAGTTACTTTGATCAGTGCTACTTGGGCAGTTTGCTTGTGGTCCCAGTGTTTTTGAGATACCATGCTGAAGTACGTTGTGGACTGGGAGTGAATTACTTATGTAGGGAGAAAGTTTAAATATCGCTAATCAGAAAAAAGTTACAGCTTTTTTGTTCTCTTATGCTTTTCTAGACTTTTCACCCTGTGTTTCCATGATTGTGGATAATTGAATAGCTCAATTCTGAATAAGTATCTTCTTTTGCATTTTTCTTTGTTTTCAGAAGATGGATTGAAAATTCAGGAAGCGACCTTCAAATGCCTGCTGAAAAGAATCGACGACAAATCATGGGCTATTAAATATGCTGTCGGGATCTGGTTTTCGGATTGTCTTGGCACTTACAGAGTGGCGGTAAGCAGTTGTTTTATTTTTACTTTTTTTTTCACTTGTATTTCTATCTTAAAAGTTGAACTGGAAAAACGTTACTTTGATTTGGCTGTAGATATTTATGCATTCTGAATGCATCGCCATTGAAAAGTTTTGAGTTATGACTTATGACACAATTACCCGCAGTAAGCATAGCAGGGACAACGTTCCTGTGCTAATATTTTACATTTTTACAATGTATGCATCAAAAATAAATTTCAAGCGATTTCTCTTTCTGCTGAATATGAATAAAGTTTTAAAACATTGATTCTGGAATAAGTTGAATTTTGACGCACTCAGTGCTAGTACTTTTTTTGCATTATATTCAAACTTTTTAGATTCCTGAAACTCTTTCCAAGCTTTTAACGGATGAAAAGCTGCAAACATTGAAAGTAGAAAAGACTGGTGATGATGATGATGGTTCAGATCAGTCCGTTTTTGTGATGCTTTTTGAGCTTGCCACTATCCATCCTTCTTTGGCTATTGATATGCTTAAAGGTAATGGATTTTCGGTTCCGTACATGAAGTGTAGTTTAGATGGACTTGGCGGCTTCACGCATAATACATAGGAATTGCCGGTTTCTCGGTCATAGACCGAGCAACACATTGCTCGCTCTGTGTTTACAGCTAAGGGATGAAACACAAATAAACTACATTGTAAAATGTCCTTCGGCGCATGACACTTAAGACCAACCTTCTATTCTACTGTTTCATACGTATTGGTTTTGATAATTTTCCTCATTTTCCTCTCTGTCCTTCCTTTTATTTGTGAGGGCATAATTTATTAAGCCGTAGCCTGGTTCTCCATCTTTGATAACTTTTCCAGTTGCTTTCACCAATACTGCGAATAAGCGGGCGACCGGTAGGATGACTGTAAGCCGCTGGTCAGTCTGCTGGTGATGCTGAAGTTCGTTTTATCTTCCGTGAAGATAACCAGCTCGCAGGATTTCTTGATGAATTGTTGAGGCTTTAGCTGTTCTGAGATATTCTTGATGTCTGCAGTCACCTCGTCTCTAACTAAAAATCCAATTTTGTTTGTCGGTGTGCTTGTTTTCTGACAATGTCTTTTAAGGTTTCTCGACTTCAAAACGTGTTTCTCGCTTCACTGTTTCATTTGCACTTGTCGAAGTGATTCGAAATCATCCAAATTTTACACGGCGAAAAATTGCATCGATGTTTTTGGTTGTTCGTGCAATCGTCAATTATGCTGATATATTTCGTGAAACGGTACCATTGCTTACGGAAATTTCACAGAGCGTTTTTGAAGGTTTGTATATTTTCTCTTCCCCTCTTTACATTTTTTCACAGAGCGCACCTGGCAACTTTTTTATGATTTTTATCACCGACCAGTCAGCCATGTTTTTTTTTTCTCCCATTTTGCTTACTAATTTCGTTTTTTTTCCAAGAGAATGCAGATTCATCTGACGTTCTTTGCTCCTCGTGTCCTTGTATGTTCATCCAGCTCATTTGTTAGCTATCGCTGTATTCTTCGTAAAATCAACCATCCGTGTGAACAGAAGTTATTATGAGTTCAGTTTCTGGAGAACCGAACTTTGAGCAGAAACATATCCAAGCTGCAGCAGTTTGTAGCTTTCATTATCGTTTTACAGTCCGTTTAATAACCTTTCGTTGGTTCTTTGGTCAGACATCAATTCATGATTGCGTCCCGTACCGCTGACGGACCTTTCTTTTCCTTGCTCAGGTTTTGCATGTTTCTAGTTAACTTTTGCGGTGATAGCGCTCTTCTGCGTCCTTTTCTGCCCCCAATGTTTCTGATGCCCACGGAAGAGAGTAGAAAAAGAGTTTTTCTACTTAGATTTTTGTGCGTTTTTTTTTGCATCTATGCAATGCAGAAAACGCATATTGACGAGGGGTTGTCTGTATGTGTGTGTGTGTGTGTTTGTATCTAGGCGTTCGTCTGTACTGATTTTTTATCTCAATACCTACGAAAGCTACAGGGGGCCCCCAAAACGGGCGGTCTTACCCGCGTGATAGTCACGTACGGGCTCGTGAAAGTTTTTCACAGGTATGTTGCTAACTCTGGAACCAGAAAAGCTAGAAAGCTGAAATTTTAATGGGATGTTTCCCGTCCACGTAAGTCTTGGTGAGCTTCAAACCTGTCCCCCGGTACTGGTATGCGTGGTGCCTATGTACGGCCTTGCTTTTTTTTCGGGTAAGTTGCTAACTCGAGGACCTGAAAAGCTAGAAGACTGGAAATTTAAGGGGATGTTCCCGTTCAAGTAGGTGTTCAGCACCACTGCCCGGTCGAGAACATGGGCATGAGTGCAGTTCCACTTCCCCTTGCGCATTGCTCTCTGGTTGTCCAGGATAGCACTACCCTTCTGGATGTAATCCATGAGGGCTTTATTCACAACACTGCTAACTAACTTATAGCACGTGTTGAGACAGGTTATGGGCCGGTAATTAGATGATCAGCTCTGTCGCCAGCCTTATAGAGCAGCACCGTCCCAGCCCCCTGGTATGCATGGTTCCTATGTACGAACCCGTGAAACTTTTTTGTGGATAAATTACTAACTCGGAAACTAGGAAAACTTTAAACGGATGCTTCATGACAGTCCTGGCGTCCAGTATCATTTCTTTTAGTTAGAAGCATTTGCTGGAAAAACTACTGGCAGTAGTGACAAAAACTGCGGGGAACTATGCAAAAAACGCATCTTTGCAACTGCAGTCGGTGCATTGGGCAGTTATTTTCTCTTGCCGTTTTGATTTTTTAATGTGAGTTTCCTCGATTTTTTGTTATAAGGGATGGTATTTTGGGTTGATTGGAGAGGTGTGAAGAGTAGAGACTGAGGAAATAATAAATAAATGTGAAAAGTAGTAACAGGGAAGCAATAATTAATTTATAAAATTATCAAGTAGCTAAGAGAGGAAAAGTACCTGAAGTGGAGCGTAGTATTTGTCACATTTAAAGATTTTTGCATTCACATTCTCCAGGTCTTCGACTGGCGGAACCAATACTTATTATGCAAGAAGCCGTTCTGTGTGCAATACATTACGATCGAGAAGACAGTGACACAACTGCAGTTCCATTCTCTCATCTAGAATTTAGTAACGAGGTAAATTTATGTTTATGTGTTTCCCAGAATTATCGGTATTGTTACATATATTATCCACCACCGAAAGCAAAACTACCAGATCCATGTAGCATTGAGAAACTTTGATATCCATAATATGCAGCGTGTTATGCGTTTCATGCTGTGCAAAAGGTGCACAAAACGCGTATTGTCACGGGGTTGTCTGTATATATATGCCCACAGCAGTTTGTCCGCAACTTTCAACTCGGAAACCACAAAAGCCGAGAAGCTAAAAATTTAGGGTATGTTCCCCGCCCACCAAATTGAAATTCAGCCTTCTGTTGCCCGCGGATAATACCTACGGCCCCATAAAAGTTTTGGCAGGTAAAATTATCGCGGGGACCACGAAAATTGGGAATCTGAAGTTTTAGAGCGATACCTCCTATCAACATACGACCTCCGCAAATTTTCAACATCCTTGTGGGAGCTTTGGCGAGAAAAGTCATTAACTCGGCAGCCAGAAGAGTTAGGAGGCTGAAAATTTCAGGAGAATGTTTCCTGCTTAAGCAGGAGCTTCACAAACTCGAATTCAGTTCCTATGTATGTCGAGTTCTCATATACGATCACGTGAAAGTTTTGTGTCAAAAATCATTCGAAAGTCAGAAAATTAGAAGATTGAAATTTTGTAAGGATGTTAATCCTTCGAGGTTTCAGAATCAGTTTTCACGTACTGGTGCGTGAAAATTTTAACTATTTTTCGACATTTCTACTATTTTTGCACATATAAAAGTGCAAAGCAGAGAAAATCACTAAAAGGCAATCGTTCTATGGATAGGATTGCGCAAAACACATAATCGCATCGGCTTTTCTGGTGCGCGCTGCTATCTGATTTTGTCTCGACAAGTTAATATCGCATCTCTTTTCTTCAGTCGTCTTTGTGGTGCCACAGGATCCCCTGTTACTGGTTTTCCTTTGTAGTGACGACTGTGCATTGGTATTTTGCGGCAGCCGGTCATGTAGGAGTTTCTGAAAGCACTCAATTCTGAATGCAGAGTTACCTCAAGCTTTCGAATAGCGTAATCTTAATACATTTACAGATGTACCATTATCCACAGTGTCACATCTACTGGGTATTGTTACTCAAACTTACGAAATAGGGAGAGTATTTTTTCAGGTAGCAGTGAAACTGTTGCAAACGTTTTGTGATCTGGCACATGATCACATGGAAAAAGAAATGGTTGATTTGCGCCGAAACCACGTTAATTCTGAATCAAAAACGTAATCATGCTTTTGAAAATTCTTCACGTTGTGATAGCGAATGTAAACCACCACACTTACCGGTGCAATCATGCGTTTTTGCGCTAAACTTGCGGATCGCTAACAGCAGGGATGGTCTCTACGCTGTAGTCTAACACTTGGATTCATATTGGCTATGTTTCGACCTATTTCCGCGTGCAGAGGGAAAGGGCATCAGCTGAGATGAAGGTTTTGCATTATAGGGCTGTATGGACTTCCAGCATACATGAATATCAGATTTTTGCACGACCACTGACTACTTTTCCAGTGAAAGCGCGTTCATAAAAAAATGCAAATTTGGGTTTGCGATAAAATCGAGTATTTCTCATACCCACTTGCAGAAAATTTCACTTCCAAACTAAATTAAGATCAGATATAAAAGTAAAATATTCCAGCGAAGTTTGAGCTTTGCACCTTATTCGGTAAACAAAATAGCCACTTCGCTACAAATATTTTTGAAGTGTCCTAAGTCGTGACGCAAATGCAAATCGTAACTCAATTTAGGTATACGATTTCCTGTATGGACGACAAATGTTCTGACAAAATTTCAGTCATCGCTAGTTTTCGAATTAGCACAGTGCCAAGTGCTAACTTTGACATGATCATACGTGCTGCATAAGCACGCGCAGTGGCTGAGTTTAAAATCTTTGGCTGACACAATTACATAGAATATCCCTGCAAAGTTTCAGCTTCCTCTCTTGTCCGGTTCACAAAATCGTTTCCCGCCAAAGAAATTTACATATTTTTTTGGTAGTCCGTACGTGAGATCTAAGTGCGTATGAGCAATGATTTTAAAACGAAAGGATGGCACACAAGGTGGGATTGCGCCTGCAAAATTTCAGCCTTCAAGCTTTTCTGGTTGCTAAGTTGA